TATGGCGACTTGATGGGCAAGAAGGCGAAAGCCATCCTGAGCCGGGCGAAGGGCGGTTTGGGGAAGCGCACGCCGGGCGTCTTCAAGATCGCAGCTTGGCGAAATCGCGCAAGTCGCGAGTCGAGTCAACGAGTCTTTGGGTCCTTTCCAGTGGCTCTGAGGTCTTCCTGCGACACGGGGAGAGTGACTGGAATGTCGCTCGGAAAGGAGAAGAGGGCAGAGTTGAGCTTGAAACTTCTCACCCGCTCTCTATGAAGCCGCGCGCCGCCTGCCGCGCGCCGAGGTGAAGAACATCTTCACGGGCTGGGCGGACGTGGACCTCAGCGAGCGCGGCCGCTGCGAGGCAGGGAGCCGGGCAGAGCGACCTGCAGAGAAGAGAGAGAGAGAGAGAGAGAGAGAGAGAGAAGAGAGAAGAGAGACGAGACGGGGAGAGAGAGAAGGCGGGGAGCAGGCGGGGAGAAGCGGCGCTCAGGCTGTAGAAGCGGGGCGGATGCTGCTGGACGAGGGCTTCCGCTTCGACATCGTCTTCACGCCGGGGGCCCCTGCACAGAGCCCCAGGCCAGGGCCGGCTAGGCCGAAGAGAAGGCACCCAGGCACCAGAGGTAGTGGGAGGGGGGCGTTCGCATTGCTTCGCATTGCTTCGCATTGCTTCGCGCTGCGTCTCAGGTCGGTGCTTCGCCGGGACCCAAAAAGAGCGGAGAGCGGCAGAGAGCGGAGAGCGGCGCGGAGAGCGGAGCGGCTCCCGCCGGCTCCCGCTGTGCAGGCCGAGCGGTGCGCACGGCCTGGACGGCCCTCGCGGAGTCTGGGAATTTTGCCATGCCCGTCATCAACTCCTGGAGGAGAGTGGGCTTGTAGACGGCCTCCCCAGTCAAACCTGTCTTTCAGAGGCTGAATGAGCGGCACTATGGCGGCTTGCAGGGCTTGAACAAGGCTCAACAACGAAAGCCTTGAGATCGGCAGCTGCGCAGCGAGCGCGCTCGCAGGCGGAGACCGCCGCCAAGCATGGCGAGAAGCAGGCGAAAGGGCATGCAGAGTGCGGCTAAAGGGCCCTTGGGCCTCGGGCGCTCTTCTTTCAGGTGAAGATCTGGCGGAGGAGCTACGACATCCCGCCGCCGGCAATCAGTGCCTCAGACCCGCGACATCCCTCCAACGACCCCATGTACCGCAACGCGGGTCCCTAAGACGCAACGGTCCCGTTTTAACGGCGAGATGTGCAGAAGCACCGAGGTTCCCAAGACAGCCTTGCCTGGAGCAGAGTCCTTGTCGATGACAGTGGACCGGGTGAGGTTCTCAGACCAGCATGGCAACATGCCAGGATGCCAGCAGCAGGGATCAGCAGGGCATATCGTGGCCCGCGCGGACTTGAGGTGATGCCTTTTTGGAACGACACCATCGCGCCTTGCGTGCGCTTCCCTGGCATGAGGCAGGTGGCCACTTGACATCTCGTTGCTGCAGGTCATGGCCGGGAAGAATGTCCTCGTTGCAGCTCATGGAAATTCCTTGAGGGCGATATGCAAATACTTGGAGGCCTCTCTGCCTAGCGCGGATTGGAGAGGGCTTTGTACTAACAACTCAACCCCCCCCCCCCCCCCCAAGAAATACAGCGCGAGCAGCGCGAGGGGAACTCCTCTGACGTCTTCGGTACAGCGTCTTGCTAAGGTTCGGCCGCAACGATTCTTTTTGGCACAGTGCAAACATGTGAAAGGTCGTGGGCTCCGTGCACACCACGCCTAAGCTTGTTTTGGTTGCTAGACTGGCTTCTGCCGATGGTAAAGCGGTAAAGCGAGGTGGCTTCTGCTCCTTGAGCCATGGTCTCGGAAAGCAAAGGCCCTAGCTCCACCAGGGCTTCAGCTTTACAAACGGTAAGGACGGGGTCCTAGGATATCAACACCCCTCCTTGACGGCGACGGCAGTTCGCCGTCACCCTAATTATGGCCAGTGAAAGCCCCTCACATCGACTTCCTCCCTCTGGCCGCACTTCTGACACACATCACGCTCCTGGAACTTTGTCGAAGAGGTCAAAGTCGAGCATGAAGTGGTACGAGGTGTAGAGTACACCTTCGGAATTTCACTTCCCAGGAGCAGGCATCGCGGACCGCTTTTTTTGACCCCTGTCGCTTTTTTTTGACCTCTATCCTCGGGGCACCCCCCGCCCGGTGTGCACCTTGAACCCGATCTATTTGGTAGCTGGAACCACGAGTTG